AAATCTGAAGTTGTTTAATTGTCAAGCTTATGTGCCTTCTTATATCACAGGCAATCAAAAATGTCATATTGTCTAATTTACTTGACAAAAATGTCAAGCTTGAATACAAACTTATGTCATAATCAGGAAAAAATGTAAAGTTGTTCAATTCATTTGGCAATGACATCAAAATTGAATACCTCCTTATATTAAAGGTAGTCAATAATGTGAGATTATTCAATTCTTTTGGCAATGATGTCAAGTCTAAGCAACTATTTATATTAAGATTTTTTATAGACATAAGATTTTCTATTGATTTTAGTAATAAGTTTAATTTTTTACAACTTAAGAGTCATTGAAATGATTCATTTACAATTTTAGAACAAAAATTACACTTAAAATATTAAAAGAATACACTTTTAGATGAGTTAGTGCAAAAAATCCTAAATGAGTGGGATAATTAGTGCTAGTTGTAGGAATGTAATTATTTGTAGGAATTTTTATTTAAATTTTTATAGTAATTATATTTTTTTACTTCCTTTCTTATCTTTATTACTAATTTTTTTACTTATAGAAAATTATTGATTGGCCAATAAATTAATGAAGAGTATTCATAAAGAAATAAGACCAAGTAGATACCAAAGATTAATTGGAACCGGTAGAAATGACAATTTAAAATTTAAAAATTAGATTGTGGACTTAGAAATTTTAAGCAAGTTTTAATCCTTATTAGATTTATTTTTAATTTCATATTTTTATATCTCGAAGTCCTCCACAGTCTTTTAATTTTTTTTAAAATAATCAATTATTGGCTAAAAAAATTAAAAGATTTCAAAAAAATGAAGAGATTACTTTCTTTAGATACAAAAAATAAAAATGAGAGTGCAATGGAAATTGAAAAAACAAAAAAAGCTTACTAAAAGACTTGAAATTTTGACCTTACAATAAAAAAAAAATTATATTGTGAAATCAAAACAATTAGAAGTGTCAATTAAGAAGTAGCATCTTATGGCAATCCAACAATAATTCAAAATAATGTAAAAAATATTAAATAAGACTTCTCTAATTATTTAAATTCAATGGCTAACATGGCAAGAGTTTCCAAAGACAATGGCTCCTAGTATGGTTTTTTTCAAATGGACTCCTATTAAGTTCATTTTTATTTTTATTTTTTATTTTTTTTCCTTTCTCTCTCTCTCTTTCTCTTGCATTTTAATTCTTGGGATATGTGGAGGCATTATTATGCAACATTCTATGTTTCTTTTCTCCTATAACTATTCTTGTTTCTAATTGAGATCTTATCAGCAAGATATATTGTAACGCTTTAATTATGAATAGTAGTCAATTCCTTGTTATTTGATAGTGTTGTCTTTTTTGGTAGTTGAAAGCATTGTGTACATGTTATGATGTCTTCCCTAGAGTATCGTCTACGCAAGTTGTTGCTCTAATATAGACTCTTTTTTAATTCTTTTGCATTTGTTTTTTACTATTATTCATGTTTTTTTTTTTTTTTTTTTTGATTTTTTTCTTTAGCATTTCTGATTATATTTTATTTATTAGTGGCATTGTAGTTAAAGTATTGAGGTGTAATTTTTCTACATTTTTTTTTTTCTTATTGGTCATTATGAGGGGCATTGAAGATGGTGCAATTAGATATACTATAGATTTTGTGGAGTTGCAATTGTTACAAAGATTCTTTGTGTTTATTTTTCTTAAGTGGATTGTAATTGCATTATCCTTAAGCAATGCAATATTTGACAAGGCCCTAGTTATTGGTCAATATTGGCCCTTATTGGTTTGTCCCTTCAAAATGTTGATTAATGTTAGTTCTATCAATAGATTTTAATTAATAGAATTGTTAAAAGTATAATTTTAAGTTATTTAGATACAAAAATATTAGGATTAAAAAATATTAATATTAATAAAGTATTAATTATAATTTTGAAAAGTTTATAAGCTGCAAGAGCCTTATTATGAAAAAATCATAAAATAAAGTCTGAATAAGTCTTAGTAGCAATTATTTACCTAGTTTCGTTTTTTTATTATAAAAATTAGTATTTAATTATTAAAACTAATATCTAAATTGGTCTTTTATCTAGATATATTACTTGTAAAAAAATCTATAAATATTTGTCAGTAAGTAGAAGAAGCAAAAGAAAAAACTCCATGTCTTTTTAGTTATTTATGTGAAAAATAAAAAAATAAAATAATTGATTTAAATTTATTATATTAATAAAAAATAAAAATATAGAAAATAATAGCCTTAAATTAATTTTATTATTATTTTAATATTATGATAATTTTTTAGAATTTATTTAAAATATTTTAGGAATTTTTAGAATAATTTTTCAAGACTTTGGTAATAATAATTTTTATCACTTTGGAAAGCCGATATAGTAAATTAAGAGAAGCTTAAAGGTCTTATAAGATTTCTAAGATAATTTGGTATTTTGAAATATAATAATAAAGTTAAAAATACAAAAGAATGATTTTACTTGTAGAAAATAGGTTACTTAGCAACTAGTATAGTAGTTATAGAAATGAAGGTGCACAAGTCTTATATGAATTATAGCACCTTAGATGTAAATAGGGCAATAAGACTAAGGTCTTGTGACTTCTCTTAAACACTCTCATGTACTACTTGTCAGCCTTAGTGAGGATCAAATCTTTGATATTCTAAACAAATCTTTGATTTCTTATAATAAAATAGAATTACTTAATCTTTTTATATTTTATTCTTTATCTTTAGATTATCAAAACTTATTTATAATAATTTTAATTTTAATTTTTTAATTTCATTAAAAATATTAAAATTTTATTTATCTAACAATATATCTTTTATTTTTTAGAAGTTGAAAATACAATCAACATACTATGATTAGTTTTATATTCTATAATTGCTTGATTGTATTCCTTTTTTTTATTTGTGTATGTTACTTTTTTCTTGTCATATACTTCTCCCACTTTACACTACTAATGACAAGAAATTTTTAATTAAAGCCATCTTATGATTTGGATTGAAAGGTGAATTTTATGTTCACATTCATTTTTCCATATTTTATGTTCCATCAAAACAAAATGTGCTTTTACATCAATTCTTCTTTCCATTGCCTATTCTAATTTATATTATTAGCATACCTATTCATTTAAATCTTATTATCTACAAGAAGCCAAATTACAGCCTATATATACAAATATATACACACATATATATATATATATATATATATATTCATATAATTTTTCTTAATTATCAATAAATTTGGCAAAGATGGTAGTAAAACTTCCATGCATTTAATATCTAATATCTAATATTATATAATCAATGTCCTATCAAAAAAACAAAACAAAAAAGATTATATTTCAAATATGTTCAATTAATATGTTCTACAAATGTCACTCATCTTATACTACCATATACACATTGATACAACCTATAAAGGCACAAGCTATATCCTATCATTTATTATCTACAAAAATTATGGCACCTACATATACAAATATATCTTGATCAACTTCAATCCACCTATTGCAAACTTGATCTTATACATTCATTAATCTTATTAGATTTATTATTATTAAAAATCTTATGCAATTAAATCATCTATGTTTTATTATTACATCAACAACTTGATGCTTCTAAGACTAAATAATCATGCTTATTTCAAGACCTTATAGATTTAAATCTTATATATGTCAATATTCTTCTTTGACTTCTTCTTTAAGCCAATCTTGATCTTTATTTTTAACCTTCTTTACCATCAACTTCTTATCAATCTTTGATTTACCAATCTTTTACTCCTTTCTTGCCTTAGAAGCCATCTCTCCTTAATTTTCTAGAAACTAAAATAAACAACAAAGGAGTAATAGAATAAAAAGAAAATTACAAGAAAACTATTAAGACATGAGTGAGATGGAGTAGAAATGGAGAAGCAAACACAACTTATAGTTAGGCTTTATGCAATTATTAAGAGATATTTTGTTTAAATAATATGTTTATTTATAGCAACTAATAGAAGTTGCAAAGAATAGGGCTAAGATCATGACTACATATCTATAGATGTGTATCTAAGAGAGAAGGAGAAGGTAGTTATTTAGCCAAGAGTGAGCAAAGGTGTGATTTGGGATTATGACAAGAATTGAAGGTTGACTACATTTGCATCAATCAAGTGTCTTCTTATATTAGAGACTTATATTAGGTTGTTCCTTGGCCAATGGAAGAGAGTTTCGAGAGCTATGGCCTATGGATGAATGAGTCATGTATGGATTTGTATATGGCATCTATTCATTAAGAATTGGTTGAGATAGGCCTAGAATCTTTTTTTGGTTACTCTCACACAAAAAGTGATGTTACTTTGATTTTGGTGTTTATATATTGATTAAAATAGATTTGCATTAGCTGGAAGATTGTCTACAAGAAATATTCAAACTTATGTAGTTTTGCCAAGTACATTGTACAAATTGTATTAAGCAACTTAAATTTTTTATTTTGAATGACGGTTTAAGTGAATTTATAACTTTATTACTGCTCAATTGCATAACCACTGCAAACCAAATGGTCTTAAAACGTGCTTGGCTTCAATTTAGGTAAGGTATTCTATTACACAGTATATGTTGGAGCTTTCACATTGCGGTAAAGATCAAAGCTTCCAAAAATAAGTAAATGAAATCAGTCTTGAGTAGTAAGCCTGTTTTTCAGCGTTATTTTACAGCAGCCTTTCATTCTAGAAAAGAAAGTGTCGTAGGAATCCAGTAAAGAAAAGATTGAATCATTCGTGGCATGCTGACCTAAGACCTAAGAAGTAAACTTCTTAAGATGGGAACCCAAAAGCAGCATTCTTTACATTTTTTTATTTTGTTTTACGTTCTCACATTTTATTGGATTTGTATTGAGACGGAACTGTGTTTCATTGCTACTAACTGTACGATGCGTTTCACAATTAAGGATGCTCAAACAATGAAAACACAGAACTTGTGAGCATAGCATGCAAGACAAATCTATTGAACTATCACAGGAGTAATTCAGATTTCAAGGCAGCATAATGACTCGTGTAAGTGACTATTTTGAATGTACATACAACAGAATTGTGAACTGCTAAGTACCAGTGACAACTGTGCTGATGAGCTTCTAGTTAATTTTCGGTTTGGGCCTCCTCCTCCGCAGGAGCAACCACAACACAACCACTACTACTACAACCCCAGCCAACACCTTTGACCAGTCAAAATCCACATCCACTTTCCTCTCCTTCAAGCATTTGATGGGATGCATAGCAGCCACGGTTTCGTTTGCCTCCATGTAAAAGCTACAAAATCACAATGACGTGGTAAGGGCAATGTTTAAATTTGCGAACTAAGGGAAGTAAACAGTACTCGGAAAAAATTTGATTGAATGAATCAGATTATTTTGTAGGAAACTTGAAGCTAGTCGAGAAAGAATCCACGATAGAACTGCAAAACTTACTCTTTTGCATCCCGTTCCAGATAAGTCAGAAGCTTCACCACTTCACCATAGCGAAGAGTTTCAGCCAAACTTGCGATCTGTGACAAAGGCAAGTAACAAATATTCAGATATCATTAAAAACTCTCTCCTCCTTGCTCTGCAACGTGTTGACAACAGCAACTAGTCTAAAACTAGGATTAGAAGGATACACATTTATCAGAGTAAATTTACAATGACAGAGGAGGGGATTGGAGCAAGGCACACCCGTCTCCATAGATGAACAACGGACTGATAATGTCTCAATAATTTCGTTTGACGTGATTTCACCACTGCGAAAGTTTTTTCATCTAAAATAATAAGGTCAAGGCCACAAAGTAAAATCAAATACATAGCAGTATACCATCTTACTCCCAATCTCTTCATCTTCCAAAAACAATCTTGCCAACACCTTTCATTACAAATACTCTTCTCGAATCTCTCATGTCAATTCGAGACAATAATTAAGAACACAAAATAATTCAAGAACAGCAAATAAAAGCAACTTTGATGGATACAAGTTCCCTCCTTGCTTAAAAGACTTATTCCTGCATTTAGTATTTCGATTGACTCATCCAACGCAGTAACCATGTAGCTCCGAGCGATAGCGTCAGTTTGAAAACTTGAAACCTCATAGCCTTTGGCCGTACAGGAAAGTACGTGTGAACCTGCTACCCACGTCCAGTCCTGCCTCCATGCAACATCCATACAATGAGCCAATCCAAAATGGAATGATAAAACTTTTACTAACATGCTATGCTAAACATAAGACCTATGGTGAATGTTTACATACTGAAAATTGGAAGCATCAATCAGGGACGGCGGTCACAGAAAAGTCAGAGTCGGAGCCAATCAAAAGAAGACTCCCAACCATAATATATGATCGCTGACCGTTTTTCATGAAATTAGGTATTACAGCACACTTGAAATGACCTACAGTGTAATACTAGAACAGACCTGAGCAGTATTCTGATGAGCATGACTATAAGTGAGCTGAGTCTCGACCAATCCTGCAAGGTGCTCGGCCACAGCTGCCACAGCTGCCTTTATTGGTCGGCTGCAACAATGAACAAGACCATTAATTGTGCAAGTAAACAAATTACTGAAACTAAACACAATCAATCACTTCGGCTTAATCACGAGTTTTTAGAAGTACATGGTCTTACTTGAGGTCCCAATGTACAACTTTGCTGTTGCACTGCAAGTGACTCTCCCATTTTGATTGGTTAGATTGTACGACGAAAACCATATCCGGCAAGGCCTTCGCCACGTAATGTTTATCTATGAATAATGGCTCCTCACCTGATCGCACAAACCAGAATATAGGTACTTCTAAGGACGCCCGTCCCTGCGTATTGAGGTCTGCAATATAAGATCAATACCCAAATGATTATTATTTTTTTTTATGGCTACATCTACGACGCTTTGCATGCCATCCACTTATCGGGTATAGTGCAACAGAAGTTAAACGAAATTCAACAAGGACATCAATAAACCAATTCAAAACACTGAAAAATGTAGCAACCTAACGCTTCCAAGACATGTAGCCATAAAAGTTGAGATCACAAATATCTTGTCTGTGCTCGGTTGTCAAAATAAGGCTTCTTTTCATCTCTTTTCTTTTATTTCTGCAGATTCTCACCTGAGGTAGTCGCAAACTCATTGAGACGTTGTAACTGCGCTTGAAGAAGAAGAGAATCAAGATATACACGATTTGAAGCCCGATAGGTTCCATCTACCAACAAAACTGGGACTGCAGCAGCACGTCGTGCAACAGAGAAGGCCATAGCCAAAGCAGGATCATCTGAAAGCACTACTCTGTTCCCACATCCACATTGAGAGAATTCTCAGTTTGAGGTGTAACAGCAGTTCCTACACTGTTAATCTTATTACTTGGCAGAAATTTAGTCAGATAAGTTTCAATCTAATTTCTAACCAAACACAGTACAGTAAAAATTTATAAACAGTACCTAAACTAAAGAAGTACTTGATCCCTAAGAGTATTATAGATCGATTCAAACAAAAAATAACTTACTTCTTTACACTGAACGCAACCCTCTGAGGAGGTACAATCAGCTCTTTCAGAGATCCTACAAGCGCTTCAACATCCACTGGCACCGACATTGCGTTCTTCAATTTCTGAAGAAATAACAGCTGCTAGCGTTAATTTCTTAAGCCCAGGACAAGATTTACGTACCACCCATGTACTCAAGTATGCCAGCTACACAGGTGTGACAATGTCCAAATTGCACGCAATGATTACTGGCTATATTCATAAAACTTTAATGCTTTGGACAGCATATACAAAGAATTGCACAAAGTTAAGAATGAAAAGAAAACAAAACTTGCCAAAGATTTTTCCATAATTTCAGAAAGGTACAATCCAGTACTGAAACACAGCAAATTTACTACGATTCATACGCAGCTTCTCTTTAGATATAAAACCCAAAAAAGAAACCTAACATATACCCTCAATCAATGCAGATAAGAAATTCCAGATCAAAAAGTATGAAGACCAACCTCTTGAGTGATAATATAAATCTGGAAAACAATCTTTTCATAATAATGAAATGCACCATCAGCTGTTGACGGGGTGATGAGGTGCTTCATTGATCCAGACAAAGTTGAAGCAAGGTGTGCCAAAAACGTATCTCGTGAAAGCGAGAAGGCTTCAGGCTTCTGCAGTTTACAAGAAGATACAGCAACATTAAATATCAGACAATTTTCTTAGGTAAAATGAATCAAGCTGCGAGACTGTAAACGTACAGAATCGAACTAAATTAGGACACATTTGAAACCAAGATTTTTACTTTTGCACACGAATTATCTCGACTTATGAAGATAAATTCAGAAAACCAGGGACATAGCAGGTGGCAGATGACGATGCATGAAAAATGCATATCTCACTGTTTAAGAGTATAACAGTTCGCACTTCCTCAGAGTGACATACCAAGGTAGGAGCTGAAAACAAGTTCCATTCTTCAATACGCTTCAGTGCAGCAGATGCTTTGGTCCTCTGAGATTCGTCTGGGAGCTCTTCACTGAAGCTTGACAACTCTACTTTAACATCATCCATCCTCTCGCGAAGCTCTACAACGAGATACAGTAAACCAAATATCAACAACTATAGCATCTCAGAATCTGTGAAAATTAGTAAAAGAGCCATATGTTTACACGATATATTTTAGACGTCTCTCCAGCTTCTTACAGACAGAAGATATTACCTTCACACAAGGCAAGGTGGACTTTGCGGCCCTGGCAGTGCTTGAAGTAAAACATTTCATAAACATCGATTTCCGCTAGAAGCATATCGACAGCATGCTGCTGAGGATCCTGAAATCCCAACGTCGACAACACATCATTATGTAATATACCACATTGGTAAATTAAACCCACAAAATTTGTGAAGGAAAGTATTTAGGCGTCCTCGGACATTGAGACCCCGAAACATAAGAAGTGCTATTTTTGCACAAACATAAGAACTCAATAAACCTGATACTTTTATCGACCCCAAACAAACCATTTTAACGTACTAAAGTCCAGTCCTAGTTACAGAACGCCAGAAAACAAACCCTACCTCTTTTTCTTCGAAGACAGTGAAACGGTCATGAACCATGTTCTGCAAATCCTCTTGCACCTGTTCTTCTGTTGCACCTTCAGACTCAGGACATTATTTAAAGTAAGAGACTGGATGGGACAAAAAATCTAAGTGCCCCATAATTTTACAAGCCCATTAAGCACCTGTAGGGTAAACATCACGTACTGTAGACACACAAGCCAATTAATGGGGTCATCCAACATGATTAGGAACATAACACACAGAAGTGTGATGCGTTAATCAGTACCATTGTATTCCGTAGAATGGGGTCCAAAACTTTCATCAACAGACGGCAAGCTGCGTTCCACACGAACTCCTTCTCCGCCAACAGTGGAACCCCAAGTAAAAGGAGCTGCTGTGAGGTCTAAGAAAGCCCACCTGCTTACCGAAACATTAATTAATTAAAAACAAATTTCATTTAAGGTATCAAAATTAAATGAAAGCTGCAAGCAGTAGCTAACAACCTGTTCGCCTTTCAGAGGTATTCCTTCTAACGGAGAGAGCACAGTGAAAACACCATCATCTCAATGACGCAAATCACCGAAACTACCGAGCCAATAGACATGATACCTCCTCCTGTTTACCTTTCCTTTCCCACCCAAGTATTCACTAAACAGTCTGCTTGCAAGTTCGTTGGCTTCGCATCCTTCAGTGCTCGAAAGAGACCATTACCTTCTCCACTCCGTCCAGCCAGTATCTGAGCAGATTCACGAAATGATTCGAGGAAACAGTTCTTCAATTGCCACTCGAGTCATGAACTCAAACAAAATCATTCTCGACAAAAATAGGTACTTTAGTAGCCGTAGTACATCCTGAAATAACCTACAGACAAACCCTACATCAAAGATTATCTACAAGAGCTCACGCTAACCTGAACTTAATCTCTCTGGTCGTAACCTCTTCCTCCAACAACATGGCTAAGAATATACAAGAGTGCAGCTGGAACAGAGAGACTAGAAACGCCGATTTGAATGTAGAGCATAAAGCTGAAAGAAGAGGGAGCGGATTCAGGCACTTCAAATCACACCTTTTGAGCGGTGTGGATCATGGTATCCACAGCTGACTTGCCGTGTAAATCCTTTTCCACCTCAGTAAGAGCGTTATTGTATGCATCCACCCAGTGCCCCTGAAAATCACTAGAAACCTTGTGAAACTATCAAACACAAACCAATCTCAAACATTCCATAACTATTCACTTGATTCCACAACTTCCTCATGGTTATGAGAAAAAAAAGTGAATTTATTTCCCTTTCCCAAATTCTAACATCGGCCTGTGTAAGAAATCGTCGCTCTATTTCTAGTCTTAGTGAAACCACCTACGAGACCTATTCAAAGCGTAAATTGACGCAAACGTACTTTGGTTAAGCCAAATTCAAATCGTGATCCAACTTAAAAGCACAATCCAAACCACAATAAACATAAATTCAAGTGCAGTCCCAGCAATAAACTTAGCACAAATCTTACTTGGTAAAATAAGCTGCTCTCTCCCAGTTCCAGCCAACGAATTTTACCAAATTGGGCAAAGAGACAAAGACAAGGAACAACTGCGGAAAGTAAGATACAAACATACCGTGTCTTTGTAGTCAGCTGTCGTCCATGCAAACTTCATCATAGGGTGTCGTGCATATAGAGGCTTTTGATATCTATCCTTTTCTGCACAACCACTTAGAAAAATGTTATTGTTTAGTGCTAAAAATCAGTACAACTATTCAAAGAACCTAATAAAACACAAAGAATCAATATTGATCATACAGAACAGTCTCAAAACGCTAACCTAGAGGATTAATGACGCGAAGTCCTTTAGACTGAAAAACTTTCATCTTGGCGTCTCCATCCTGCACATGAGACTACTAGTTAGCGTTCGGATACAACGGAAGTCAGACACTTAAAGAGGAAACGTATGAGGGAGGAGAATGTTACATTTTCTAAAAGCCGAAGCTCCTCTTCGGATAGCCCTCGTCTGCACCCAACAAGGTGCGTTAAACACAACATATTAGAAGCCGGTAGCGTCTAGAAGGGTTCATTTCTCAAAGGAATACATTCTCTCACATCTTTAACAGATTCAAAAGCAACCACTACTACTAAACATGGTCACACATATCTCGATTAACAAGTATGCAACCAAACCAGAAAATTCCATATACAATGAGGAAATTGTTATGTAAACCAAAACAAATTGAAAGAAACAACTTCAATTTGAAAATATGTGCATATTCATACCTATAACCATAATTAGCACGTGTTGCATTTCGTTTAGGGTTTAGTATTATGATGTTGTAGGCATCGTCCAGCTGAAGGAAGCTTATGAAACTAGAAAAGATGTGCGACATGCCATCCATATCCACTTGCCACATCACATCCGTGTCATTCCTGCAAGTGTGGAATCCATAAACATGAACACCTTACTATTCGTACCTGATCAACAGAGTAAACGACGTCCAACTTAGAGAGGCAAAAATGTTCCGATACCACATCAGTAGCCAACAGAGTTAAGAATCAGTGAAAGGGATACTCCCGGCCAGTTGACCATAGCAACGAGAAAAGGGAGGGGAATACTTCGTATCGGTTGGATCTTCCCTTCGCGACAGAGCTGCGATCGCCCTCTCAAAGACTTGGGTCACTCCAGCATTCATTTCAATGGAGTGCATCGAGTAGCTGTCAAAAAGATTACGCTCACAGAATGTTCAGTACATCGTTAAATTCGACCCTATCACACGTTCGACTACAGTTCTGTTTGTTGACAACTGAAACTATGTAACCTTTGGAACAACATTGCCATGTGCGGAGCTTACAAGAAATCAAACATGTCAAACATAACCTTAGAGTGAGCAAAGGTTTACTTGTAGTGGACATTGCTAACTAGGGGAAGATGATGCCTTTGTGCCCCATCTCCCTTCAAACGGTAGAAGGGTGTCAACGACTCTCCTAATTGTGGCACACGAGTATGCTCCATCAAGTGATCGAGGTTTGAGAACCACCTCTCCAACTCCGCCTGTCCCAACTTGATGGCTGCAAGCATAAGATAATCACTCAAGTCACAATATGATTATCAAATTTTAAATTGGAAACTTTCTTGCATACAGAAGAGTCTCGTAAAGATCGCAGACGAAACAAAGTCCGGCATGAATCATTAGATCATAGAGAATTTTCCACCTAACTGTCAGAGCGTATTCAATCTCAATTGAAGCACGTAAAGCCTCAAGTACGCTTTGTAACAACTTTCCCAATTATCGACCGTAAGAGATAAAAATAGCAATACCTTGATTTCCGTCGCCATTGAACCCCACAAAAATGAGGTTGACAGGGACAGGAATGTGAAGTGCATCGATTTCTTCCAGATTCAAATAATATCCCAAAAATCCTGCACAGCAGATTCGGTTAGATGCACTCGAAAACGTCAGGGTCTTAGCCAGCTCTACCAAAGATAATGACGTATTATTCTTCAAAGAACAGACAATGAATCGAATTCTTGACACGTAAAGTAAGAACGTATAATCAGTCACCAGTACCTGCCTTGGTGTAATTAGCCTTCGCTTCCCTGCTGATCTCCTTCGAAACTTCCCAATCTTCATTCACTGAGCCCATAGACACGAAATTAAACTTTTAAGAATCGAACAAACAAGTAATAACATATGATGTAGGTCTGTCAACAATGAACATGGTGATTGGGGAATGACTTTCGTCGTGAAGAATACTACGCCAGAAAATTTGAATTACGTAACATTGATGTTGGCAAATGCTACGGCAATTTAATAACATGTTCCTCATCTAAGCTGCATTTACAAACGCTTCCCCGAATTAATCATCAAAAGAACACATGAACCCAATACGTTTCAATCAACTCACCATGGGACATGACATTCTCATTCCAAAATTTGCTTTTGACCTTCATGTTAAAGAGGGACAACACTGACGGAGGCTTGCGGGGTCGTGCCTGCCATCCTTTGTTGCTAATCGTCTTCTCCCCCTGACCTTGCACTCCCACCTGGAGTATTCTCAAAGAAAACCTTGATTAGAATTCTGAACTCGAAGATCACACTGTAAATGAATTTTGGAAGTTACGCCGAGTAGCATAAAGAACCAAGTGGCCAAAACAAAAAAACAAAAAAAAAAAAAAAAAAAAAAAAACAAAACAAAACAAAACAAAACAAAAAAACAAAAAAACAAAACAAAACAAAACAAAACAAAATCCCATCTTCAGCGACTTATTGTAAGATTAAAATTATTGCAACAGGATGGCCAGAAGGTCAGGCCAATGTATAACCCTAAGAGAGCCATCTTCGACTCTATTAATAATTTTAATTAAATAAAAAGATCAGTTTAACAGCTCGCATACTCTATCATCACAGCATGTGGAAACCACGAGAGGTGTAGACGGATCGTCACAGACAGTACAGTAGGAATCAAAGAGGTAGAAACAGCCGATCATCTAAGATAGGCACAATAAAACAACCCGATTTGCACCTTGGTTGTGAGAATCCAAATTACAAACAATGTTTTCTTGCTTAAATACACCAGCACCTATCATTACATCGTGACACTACAAGTAAGAAACATCTAATGTACCCTAAACATGTTCGCTTTCTTGCACAGAGGGTTAAATTGCACATAACCAGCTCATCAAATGGCTTCACATCGGAGTTGGTGTAAAATGGTGTGAATGGAACCCCTATTGAGTATAATGGCTGCATTGATGTCTAGAACAAAACTGGGTCTGACGCTCACCCGACCTAGATTGTGAGAAAATTAATATTCCCAAAAACCACTCCGCTTATTTCCAAAATCTTAATGACCCACGTTCCAAACATCGCAACCCACCACTCAACAAAACATAGTCTCCTGTACGCGATTGCAAAGGGGGGCCCAACTAGACCATCTATCCTTCCAAACTTAATTCTCCACTCACATCACCAAAGAAGAACTATGGTCTGTTCCCCGAGGACTTGTTGAAGATAACCATCAACAAAACTGACAAGGAACAATGAAGACATAAAAAATAAAAATAAAAAAGACAGAACCAACTGATCCAGGTCGAGGTGCCGAAATCACCAAGGTTGCAGCCGCGAGGAGCACCAACACAGAGAGAGCAGCAAAACGGGCCATGACTTCAACACCCTCTCTATACTCCTTGAACCTCAATTCCCCTTCTCTCCGACTCCAATTGACATCATCAAAGCTGCCGATTCTCCTCCTTGAAACGACCTCTACACTGCAAAAAGAAGCTCGCTTATCGCAACTGCGGTGAGGTAGCACAACCCATAAGTTCCTTCACCGCGCCATTGATCCACGGGAAATCGGTGTCAGTGGAGCTTGCACTATGATCCGCAAGTGCTCCATCAAAAACCTAAACCCACCTCAATGAAGCAGGAGGACTGTTCTGAGTGGAATCGACTTCTGAATCCCACGTCAAGCTTCCTTTGCTCCGTATTCATTATTGGTATGTATCATCGTATATGATATTCTTTCGGGTGTATATTGTCGCCCTTTTACTTTCACCTCTGAAGCCTGTTGACCAGTCGTGACAGGCGTGCTTTTAAAGGAAAAGAAAAAGAGAAAGGAAGAACGAGAAAGAGGGTAAACCAACGAAAACGAATGAACGAGCTAACGACGAAATATGGCAACAAACGAACCCACGGACGGGCGTACGTACGTACGGACTGTTGGCTCCTCAGCAAGTCCCCGCTGGCCGTTTCGTCGTGTCGATTGCTGCAGCAGACCAAATATTCGCAAGCAGTGGATCATCAGTTTGTGGGTTGCGTCGCTGCATCTGTTCCACTGCTGCCGCTGCTTTGTTTTCGACCACTACGCTCTGGGTTGCAATCCGTTTCTACATTTCGTGAGTCCTTTTAAGTGTTTTTCTCTTCTTGGGTTTATCCTTGGCGGCCGTCTGTGCCACCACGCCGTTACGGAGGACGCCCTCCTTGCGGTTAAATCCATTGGGGGTTTCCTCGTCGCCCTGGGTGAGGCAGGATTGGTGATGGTGCAAGCTGGAACTGTGCCCTCGCCACCAGCTGCGGATGAGACATGGAGGAGCGTTGCGGTGACTGGGTGGAGATTTCAGTGCACTGCGTGATATTAAGAGATCAGTAGAAGGGCGTCACGCACAGCTTCTGGGTTCCAGAGGTGAGCCGTGGTTGAGGAAATTTTGTGGAAGTTTGTCTGAGAGAGTGAATGTAGGTGGCTGAATCGCGTTGGATTTCGGGGGAACTGGATGGGTGGGGTGTGTTTAGGGTTTTCTTTCTGCTGAATTTCCTTGTCGACCTAAACGTGTTGCGATACGCTGTGTTGAAATTGGTTCAGTATCTCTGGAAGAGTTGTTGTTGAATGTGTGAGGGCTGGTTTTTTCGCTACTCCATGACTTGTTGCTGCATTTGTTAGATGCGAAACGTCGGAAACGGACGTCCTCATTGTATGCACGCTGGAGCATGAGGCGGGTGAAACTGGCAAATTAAAACTCCACTTAATGTGGTTGGTCTTCCTGAGGTGAAAAAAGGAACATAATCCTGATCTTATAATTAACAAATACCCTCGGTTACAGAATCGGTATGTTCGTCGAACTGGAGAAGAGCAACAGGTGAATTTGCCATTTTCGTGTAGACCTAGTGGGAACTTTCTCCATTTACATCTTTTGATTTTGATTCTTTTTTTCTTATTTGTTTGTGCTTTGGTTTAAAAGTTGTATAATCTTCATAGTGATTTCTAGCGATTCCTGCCTTGGGCACTTGCAGGGTTCATGATTTTGGAGGTTTACAATGAGAGAATGATAGGTTAAGTATTTTAAGGACGTAAGACTTGTACGTTGCACTTTTTATTGTCAAGTTGCGCTTAGTTATCATAATCCCTTATAAGTTTAGAAAACGTAAATTAATTACACATCTAGAGTAATTGGAGTAGATAATCTCACAGTTTTGACCATAATAGTCATATCCCGTGATCTGCATGGACTGTGATCAATAAAAATCTTTACATGTAGTTCACACAATTATCTGTGCATCTAACAATGTTTTCAATTTTATATCTTTATACTTTTTATATGAAAAATAAAAATAGAATATGTCAACAAATCATCACTTAAGTTGGTATACATGAAGACAATGTGCACATCATGTTGTATCAAATTAGGGTTCTCAAATCAATAACAAAGTAAGCAAAAGTACTTAGCCATAAATGCAAGTGTTTAGAGTTATTTTATCATTTCATTGCTCACATGTAGTTTTTATATTTATTTGGTTCATTGGTTAGGGTTTGAATCTTCAAGAAAAATCAATGTACTTATTTTTACTACTTTGAAAGGCAAGATCATGATTTACTGTATTTTTTTCTTGCAGTTCATAAGTACATACTTTTAATATTCAGCTTTTATGAGGTAAACTTTCTCATGAAACAGATCAAATAACATATTGCATTGGACCATAAATGTCTTGAAATAGCGATATTTTAAATCTCGATTTTTGAGAACACTGAATTTTTCTTGTATTCCTTTCTACATTATGGTCAGTATACTTGTTTGGCATAAGTTTCAATGCAGATCGTAGTATTTCAAATCACCATTAAATTTTGTACAATAATGTTTTGTGGTACAAATTGTTTGATTTTAACAATGAGATACAGTTTTTACATGATATAATAGTGTATAGTAGTTGTAGATGTTCGATGTTGTACATATTCTCTGATGGGTGTTTTTTCATTTATTTTTAAAGCATGTACCTTCAAGAATGAAAATAACATGTTGATGTAGTTACTGAAAATAGGTCAAACAGGACACCACTATAGATATATATATATAGATATATATATTAACACATGTAGTAAGAATCAATTTGGTTTGATCTACAGCAACTTGTGAGTCATAATTTGGTCAAAACATTGTATGTGTCCTTAATTAATTAAACAACACTACCATGTTAGTATGTTGCAAATAGTGATCACATGTTCTATTTGTTTTCATACTATTTTAGCAATCAAACATAATACAAGATCACTATTAGAAACAGAACAATATTCAGAACACTATCAATTTTCAGAATCAATACAACAGTGGAAAATAAAACACTTTACACCATATTTGAGCCTTGTATTTTACAAATTAAAATACACCAATCAAAAAGGTAGGATTCTTATTTTTATTATTTTTGTATCATATATATATATATAATCAATATTTCAGTAAATGAAACAAAAAAAAAAATGTCAAAATACTCGAGTACCTGTGATATAACTAAAATTTATAATCACTATGCTTTATGCGAGCTTACTTGCTTACGTTTGAGAAATATGTGAATTATTTTCAAATTACTTTTAACTTTCATTGACACGTTACTTTTTGGGTGTAGTACATTTTGAGTTTAAAAGAAAACGAAAGGAATAAGAAAAAAGAAAAATAATTATCACCTTTCATTCAGTCACATTTGTGGCTTTTTATCAACTATGGCTGAATTTTCTTTCCTCGAACTTCACAGAAAGAAATTATAGCAAACTAAACGTGGAGCATGATAGCAAGGAAGGATGACGTCACCATCGTCCAGCTCCCCTGTCTATACGGCCAGGGTTCGATTCCACATCCTAGCTTCCAACGGACTACGAGCGCGGAGAAAGGGAGGGAAAAATGGCGCCAAACCTGTTTCAAAATTTAACCATGCGATCGCAATCGGACGGTCAGCCACCTCGATCTGCGGCGTGCTCACCAAGCGATCCCATTGGCTCGTTCTCATCATCTCGGTATATAAAGCGTGAGCTCAGACGTCAGATCTTCAGCTTCGTTGCTGTCTTGTTTTCCACGACTTCCCTCTCTGTTGAGTGACTCTACTCTTGTTGCGTTTTCGTTTGTGCTGTTGCTTGTCTACGTCAGATAGTGCTATTTGCCTGTCTTTCCTTTTCGCTACCAGGCCGAAATGGCTCCAAAGGCAGGTGAGGAGCAGAAGGCTGGCAAATCGAAGGCCGAAAAGAAGCCCGTGGTGAAGAAGGCGGAGAAGAAGATTAAGGCCGACACCAAGGGCGATGCGAAGAAGAAGAAGTCTAAGAAGAGTGTCGAGACCTACAAGATTTACATCTACAAGGTCTTGAAGCAGGTATATACTTATTCTCTGTAAATTCCGACTAGCTATTCCTTTGCCTGCATTACACCCTATGTTCTCTTCAATGTCGAAGTCATGTCCTGTGAGTTGCTTGTTGTTGAAGGAACACGTATTGGTCATGAAAATACAGCGAACTGCGCAGCGTAGGATGATGCCATCTCTTCTGGCACTGAAGATGCTAGTCTACCTTTTGTTGAATATATTCTATTTTCTCAGGTGCACCCTGATACCGGTATTTCATCGAAGGCGATGGGTATTATGAACTCATTTATTAATGATATTTTCGAGAAGCTGGCCCAAGAGGCTGCTCGTCTGGCACGGTACAATAAGAAGCCAACGATCACTTCTCGCGAGATCCAAACTGCTGTGAGGTTAATATTGCCAGGGGAATTGGCGAAGCACGCCGTGTCAGAAGGTACAAAGGCGGTGACTAAGTTTACTAGCGCATAAGGTGTTTCTGGTCTGAATCCCTTCAATATAATTTGGTGTTTATTAACACCATCATCTGTGATAATTTATGCTCTTGCAACCTGAACTAGTCGTGATCTGAAGGATGTGATCAAACCATACAGCTGGACTAGTTCTGGAAACTTCGCATGTGATTTGGTATGAACACTAGTCCTATCTTTGATGAGGTAGTACCAACAGCATGGGAGAGACACGTGGTAGAAACTTTTTGGATGATAGAAACGCCTCGATTCCAGCAACAAATCGCCTCGCTTCTCTCTTAGAGGTAACGAGACGGCGGACTTGTTGTCTAGAAAATCTTGCATGGAATAATTATTCCGCTATTTCTAAGATTGGGTGCTAGCATTCTGCATGAACTGTAAGCCGTTTCTATAAAGAAAATACACTCACTAATTGGGTCGGCGGTAAATTTCAGTAGCCCGCTAGCCTCGTCTCCGCATCACACGCTAGTCGGTACTGCAGATTAACAGGAGGCCATGTTGGCACGTAATAGTTGTGGGTCTCAGCTCACTTGCGCACGTCCTGAAAGTAGTGCCCGCCCGGATGATAAGTTCATCTCACTGAAATGAGTTTGTAATCAACTTTGTCTCTGCGAGCCCTGCTTGAATATCAGAGCTGATGGCATGTGTCCCAACAGCAAGCCAGTGAAATCAGGACACAGTCCTTTGGGGAAGAACACTTGTCAATAATTGTGATACTTTCAAATACAATTTCATCGTCTGATCTAACTACCATTTGCAGTCTGAACCATAAGAGACTACTCTCTCCCATTTTACAACGCCCATTGTTAACAATGACAATCAGAAGTGGATATTGTTCCCCTTGCCGAAAGGTAATGTGACTTGCAGCTGGATGGTGAACAATTGATCTACATAATACCCACTTCTGGACTATCGGTCTGGCGTTTACAAGGTGCAATGATTACGATGAAGCGGTAAGAAGCCATGGTTTGATGGATTCCCTCTCCTAAACTTCGGAAAATGGACGCGGTCATTAAACATGTCAATGAAAAGTCCGCTGAGACATTTTCACAGTGTGAATCATTAACGTCTGTGTAGATGAGGTAAACACAGTATTTCCATGCTAATCTAAAAGTATCACACAAGGTCACAATATCACATGTGTAAGAAACATATGTTAACTGTCACTACGTTGTGTATACGTGAAACATATCAATTTCCCTACAATATACAGCGGAGATAAGCAAATTGAAAATTCCAAAAATAATTAATACTTAACTGTGAACAGAAAACGAATCATGAAATCGATTTGATAAACATTCATACTAATTTCCAACTTGAATAATTGAGAAACATTAAAACAGCAATTTCACAATAGGATCCCTGGTTCATGGTTTCAACAAAATCACACACACGTATTCTTATCTGCAGATATATGTATATACAGATGTATAGGAATTATACGACATTGTAGAAAGAAAAGTTACATGTCAGCATGATTGAAGCTCACCTGAATGCTCGGTAGAATAATTCGTCGTCGAAGAAATTATCTGTGTATTGGAGGTATTCAAGGAGCAGTTTTCTTAATTTGCTCAGGAAAACATAATTCGTCGGGAGGGAATGTCCAGTGGAATCCAAGGCACACGCTGAAACGGGAAAGCATAAGGAAAATATGGGATGCACAGACTTGGAAGGAAGGAAGGAAGCCAGCCACACTACTCTACTCGGTGGAACAACGCGCAGCCCCCGTTCACCCGCCTGCCTCGTTCGCAGCCTTCCTCGTTCACTGCCCCGGCGGCGCCCTCCACCACGACCACGACCACGCCACTGACGCTGACGCTGGTGACCCAGTGTTGCTGTGCGCTAGTGTGGTTGCGGCGCATGCTGCCATCACGCGCGTGGAGAGAACCAGCGAGGGACACAGCCAGCGAGAGAGAGAGAGAGAGAGAGAGAGAGAGAGGGTGTTGCAAGTATGCATTAGCATCGTTGCCTGTCCCCTAATTCTGGCTTTCGCCCAGTCTCCCTGTCAGGCGTGGTCACCTCCATCGCCAGCGCCGGCGTTATTCCCTCCCGCTGCCTTTACTCTTCTCGCAGCATTGACTGGCAGGACCTTGGGGTGCTGGAGGGAGAATTTGCTCCTGAGAGGTAGAGTTTGTGGTTTGGCGTCGTCGGTACTGCCCCCCCTGAGGTGTTGCGACAGCGGGTTGGATATTGAGGAGCTTGCCACCGGCGTCCTTGAGGATTCTTCGTTTTGCATCAGGTTTGTGAGCTTTGGCTAGAAGCTCTGCAGGGTTTGGCTGCCTTGAAGCTTTTGAATCGGGGAGGTTCGGGGCGGAGAATTCGATTGCTGCCAGATGCTGCTGGAATCTTCTGGATGTTGCTTGATTGGGTGGGAGGTGTATACCGCGTTTTTACCATTGCTGTAACTACGATTTTTTTTTTTTTTTTTTTTTTTTTTTTGTGATTTTTTAGGTTAGCTCTGGAATTGGGTGGTTGCTTGGATCGCCTGCAGTGAAACGAATAGGGAGGGTACTTGGTGTGTTAGTGCAGGGAAGCTTGGATTTGTTGAAATTGGTTCTGAGGGTTTTGGAGTCCCATTGGATTGCGGGATGACTTGTGGATTTGGGTCAAGGGCATGCCTGCACGGTGGAAACAACGATTACGTGGGGCAATTTACCGATAGCTTTCCGGAGCTTGGAGGTACGGTACATGATGTCCATTTCCTTGAGATGAACAGTGGCACTATTGCCGGATATTTTTCTTGATGCGGCTTATCGTGGCGGTGGTTTGAGGCGACGTACAAGTGCAGTAGCTCCTCGAAAGCCAGCATTTCAGGAGAGCGTGGTTCTAGGTCAGGCATTCTAACAGTGTGCGGATAGAACAGCAAGAGAACTAGAGATGGTTTTTAAGTTCAAGCGCGTGATGCAGCGCGGGACCAAGGGTAAAACCGATGATAAAACCGATGCATCCGCTTCGGCACCCGATGTCGTAAGTCAGGCAGCGGGCAGCAGAGTTGGTAACTATGCCGTGGGAGCTCCAGCATCAGCTGGGGTCCCTGCTAGCAGTAAGGTTGGTGGTGCTGCAGCAGCTGTGCATCCGGTGGGGAAATTTGGAGCAGTGGTGAAGCAGCCGACCCCAAGCTTCGAGACCCTGCCGTCGTTCAGAGATGTGCCGACGTCGGATAGACAGAATTTGTTCGTTCGAAAGCTGGCTCTGTGCTGCCGCACGTTCGATTTCACGGATCCGACGATGGATGTGAAGGAGAAAGAAATCAAGCGGCAGATGCTGCTGGAGCTGGTGGACTACGTGACCTCTGGGTCGGGGAAGTTCACGGAAGCGGTCTTCGAGGACATCACGAGGATGCTGGCAGCCAATTTGTTCCGAACCCTGCCTCCGTCCTCCCACGAGAATAAGGGTTCGGAGAGTTTTGACGCGGAGGAGGAAGAGCCGACTATGGAGCCGGCGTGGCCACACCTGCAGATCGTGTACGAATTTCTGTTGCGGTACGTGGTGTCGAGTGAGACGGACGCGAAGCTGGCGAAGAGATACATTGATCATTCGTTCGTGCTGAGACTGCTGGACCTGTTCGACAGCGAGGATCCTCGGGAGAGGGAATACCTGAAGACGATATTGCACCGGATATACGGGAAGTTCATGGTGCACCGGCCCTTCATACGAAAGGCCATCAACAACATATTTTACAGGTTAATATTTGAGACGGAGAAGCACAACGGGATCGCGGAGCTTTTGGAGATACTGGGGAGCATCATCAATGGGTTCGCGCTGCCCCTGAAGGAGGAGCACAAGGTATTTTTGGTGCGGGCGCTGATCCCGCTGCACAAGCCAAAGTGTGTGTCGATGTACCATCAGCAGCTGTCGTACTGCATTATCCAGTTCGTGGAGAAGGACTTCAAGCTGGGGGATGTGGTGATAAGGGGGCTGCTGCGGTACTGGCCGATGACGAACAGTCAGAAAGAGGTGCTGTTTCTGGGGGAGTTGGAAGAGGTGTTGGAGGCGACACAGAGCGCAGAGTTTCAGAAGTGCATAGTCCCGCTGTTTCGACAGATCGGTCGGTGTCTGAACAGTTCGCATTTTCAGGTATGCGTTGTGATGTGCGCTTGAAATCTGAGATAGTTTGTAAGGGGATTTGGACTTCGGGGCGTTGTTGACGCAGTCCTTGGAAGTGGAATTATGCCTGTGGTTGTTGAACTTGCACATTATTATTTATATGCGGATGGAGCTGGAATGTACCAAAGTAGTGTGGACCAGAAAAAGATAGTCGAAATATTGCCCCGAGGATTATGAGTGATTGTACATTAACTGTTGTTTAATTGTTGAGGCGTACGTTTTAAGCGGTTTAAAAGTTATAGTAGCGATTTGAAAGGTCTATGCTAAGTACCCTCAGTGGAAGACTTTGACAATGAATTGCGACCTGCGAGCTGATGTATTTTGGTTCTTCTTGATAGCGTGCTGTGTGCTTGGAAAGTGTATTCGTAGTTGCACTGCCGAGGGGTTACTGCATGTGGTTAAAAGTATCAATGGTGTACCCTCTCTCGCCCTAGGCGTAGCGGTAATACTTTCTCACGAGCTAATTCCTGCCATGATTACGAAATTCAGGTTGCAGAGCGTGCGCTGTTTTTGTGGAATAATGATCACATTGTGAGCCTAGTGGCCCAGAATCGACAGGTGGTGCTACCAATCATCTTTCCTGCTCTAGAGAGGAACACACGAAGCCACTGGAATCAGGCCGTACACGGGTTGACGCTGAACGTGCGCAAAATGTTTGTGGAGATGGATCAGGAGCTATTCCAAGAATGCCAACGCAAGTATGAGGAAGATGAAGCCAAGGCCAAAGGAGTGGGAGAAATGCGGGATTTAACATGGAAACGACTGGAGATTGCCGGGAACCCGCGTAGTAATGTTGGTAGTCAACACACTTTTGCATCGTCGCATGATGTGCCAAATTCAACCACAGTCCCAAAGAATGCAGCAGCAGGGACCAGAGCCTCAGTAGCGGCTTAGGGTATTGCTCGAATTGTGGAGAAGTAGCGTTATTTCCTCTAGCGTGAAGCGGGCTATTGCCAAGATGCAGGTTAAGCTTGCATTTTCTCTCTTCTGCTCCTTCGGAAAGGGGTTGTCTGCCTCCCCAGTGATCCTGACGAGGGTGCTTCTTCGTTTCGGTTGCAAGTGAGTAAAGGTGTCAGGGTTGCAGCAGACCGGGAGTGGTGCTAACACAATGGCAAAGTCGGACTGGGCAAGGGTCTGAAGGGTAGGATTGAGTTTTGTTGAAACTCAGGGTAAAAGCAGGATCAGGGAACGTCTGTGCTAAGAGACGTGCAGATTGCATATGCGGTAATATCCAAGTTCTATCTTATCATCTTCCAACATTTTTGTTATTTGCTCGTGATATAATTAGGGTGCATCAGGGGATTAAAATGAGGTAAGATTGTACGATTAGTAGGTGTTTGTTTTTGAGCAGGGCATCTGCTTTTATTGTTTTTTGTATAGAAAACTTAGGAACATACCCTTAGGAGCTTGAATAGCTGTGCCCAAGTGCATGATGGCATTTGTTACTTGTGATGGTTGGTGAGTGAGTCAAAAAGTTGTGGAGATTTGGCAAGTAACCGGATTTTTTTCTCTTATTGGAAGTATGTAGGGAGGGGAGGGGTCGTTGAGAGATTTGTACGCAGGTTAAACTTAAAATGCAATGTTGAGCATTTCAGTACACGAAGATTGATAACTTGCGTGAGAAAGCATTCCAGCTGTGGAGAGGTGCATTGTTTACCCAGAGCTTTAGTGATCAGTTTCCTTTTTTACTGATCAATTACCTTGTGGCGACTTGAGAGTGTTTGTCATCAGTAGATGCACAAATCTCGCTTTTGTGAACAAATGATTATATTGTTAGATTCTTTTGTGAACGCTTGGCTTAGTCCGAATAGCTTAACTTAATGTATAATTTACTGTTTTAGTAGGTTAGCGAGCATATGATAGATATTCTTGCATTCTCTGGAAAGCTGCGTAAACGTGACTTCCCTATTTTGAGGTTGGATGGACCAACACATGGTCAATTCTTCGTTGAGGATCGAGACCAAAGTTCTTTCAACGCCAGCGATGAAGAAGATTGACATCTATGTTGGCTTTTCCTGATTAATATGCGAGTGATAAATAAGCTTTATTGCCATTTCATCATACTTCGCATTTCATCCCATACAATTTGTACAAGTTACTCATTATCTATCTTGAGAATGAAGGGTTTTATAATAGAAGTGTGGGGAGGAGTTTCACTAGTTTTACAGCGTATAAATAGCAGGCTGTACAATGGGTTGTAAAACTACCTCCACACTTGTACGTAAGGAAGATGAATGTCCAAAATCGCGTTTTATCTAATTTAATAATCTGGGCAGGTCTGAACTTGTTTTGCATGCGTGCTTATCTTGTGAGTCTGAAGGTGACGAGGGCGATGAACCCGAGTAAACACACTTTATCTCAAAGCAATATAACTCATCTGGTAAATAGTAGCAATTGAATGAATGTCTAATCTGGAACTAGAATCTACTTTGGGGCACTATTATAGCTGGCGGAACAACCCACAGCCTGGAAGTAAATTATGGGTGGCATTGCTGCTGGGAGAATGCACCAATTCTAAAAGCACAGCTAGTCTCTGCGAAGTCACTGCCAACAGGCTCATTCAAACGGATATCCGGCGAACCCTTTGAGGACATGAAGAAGCTCATGGAGCTTGGTCGTGGATTTCAAGAATCGTGGGTGGTAGATTTCGGGGCAGGAGGAGGAGTGTGAAAACCTGTGCGTGTCTGGGAGCGTGCCTTCCCTCGCGTCGGCGTCCTCCAATCACTAGTTTCTGTCTCGATACACGCTTGTGCGTTTGCGCCACGCTTTCTGTCCTCACCCCACTTGTTTCTCTTCTCGTAGAGGCTTTCTGTGGAGTCTCTGAAGCAGTGATTTGGTTCTGTATGTGCTACGAAGTTGATCGTTGCAGTTGACGAGGTTTCGGCGGAATTTGTAGCGATTAAGAGGCTGTTGCGGTTGATACCGGAAGGCCCTAGGGACGTATTGGAGTTTGTTGGCATTTCTTGTGCTATCAGGTAGCTGATCGGTTCTATTTCTCGGATTGTTTGTTTATTCCTTAACTCGTTTTTGGTGTTTTCCACTTTAGGACGGGGAAACTGTGACATGTGCTTGTTTGTGGAGCGATTAGTGTAGTGGGAGATTGATGAGGCTTTTGTTTCACTGGACCTCGTGACGTGAAAGCTGATGTTGAAATTCTGCTCTTGTTGAGCTTTTTTGTAGAGCATTACACGCATCGGTCACGAGGGGTTTTAGAAGAGTTGGAAGGGTTTGTGAGAACTCTTCCTCGTACTGAATTAAGTAGAGATTTTCGAAATATGTTCACGTAAAAGTGTGACTTGTCCATTGTGCGATCTGGATGTAATGTCTGAGCACGCGGTGTGTAACTGGTTGTGGCCATTTTTCGAGGAACTTCACAATCTCATACACGATTGGCATGGATGGAAGAGGACTTATTTGCGAGCTCCTGTGCTTCATTATGTTCTATTAATGTAATAACCGTATTTTCTTTCTTATTATTGTGTGAAGTGCACTAGGAAAACGTAGCTCTTAGCGTCATCCTGGATCCAGTGATGGTATGAATTAAACATAGAAACAGTATTGTTTTGATGCAAAGCAAGGTATACTCTTATTCTCATTCTTATTCTTGTTATCCGCTACGTTCAGACCATGTAGTCCTTAGATCACATCTTTATTTTAATTTTTTACTTACTTTCTTTGGTCGGGATTTTACACAGACCCTCCGAAGGTATTGTTTTAATCCTTCACAATCACTTTTCATTTCAGCTGTGGTATCGGTGCTTGATCATGTTGTATCGTTTGCCTTACTTCGCAGTTACCTCTGAATTTTGGGTAAGTTTGAGGCAACTAAGTTCCTTCTACAGTGTATGTCCAAAACCAACGAAATCAGTAAACAAATGCATATGCTTACTAGGGGAGCTCGGGCTTTCTGAAGCATACGACCTTATGCTATTCCTATCTTTATCACGTTTCAGCCCACGTGAGCAGTCCCCTTTTTTGCATGTCGATCTTCAAACTGTGCCAATACAAGTCAAAATGTCGATCGTGTGCTGGAGTACTGCTAATATGTCATGGATAACTATTGCAGGGAAAGCATGCCGCATGCAGACGCTCAAGGGCGCGATCGAAAGATCGCAATCGCAGTTGATTTGAGTGATGAGAGTGCCTATGCGGTGAAATGGGCAGTGGCCAACTACCTTCGCCCTGGGGACAACGTAATCATACTCCATGTGCGGCCCACGAGTGTTCTTTTTGGAGCGGATTGGGGTGCAACAGATCAAGTTCTTGAAGCTGATGACAAGGAGTCTCAGCAAAAAATGGAAGATGATTTTGCCATTTTCACTGAAACTAAAAGCGCCGACCTTGCCAAACCATTGTTGGACGCTGGCATACCTTACAAGATTCACATCGTGAAAGATCATGACATGAAAGAGCGAATCTGCTTGGAGGTTGAGCGTCTTGGAGTCAGTGCAATGATCATGGGTAGCCGAGGTAGGAGCATCCCAACTTCTTGTTTCGCTGTCCTTGAGGGGCAGTATTGTTGTCCCACACTTTGCTTATGAAGATCCTAATCATATAGCATTCCCTTTTTTTTTTGTGAATTCTCTAAACCATTCAAATATCTGAGCAACACGCACGAACGAAGTTATGATTGTTTCTTTGAGCTGTAAGAGTAGAATTCTACGATGCATAGTGCGGTGTGAGAAATTAACTTCTAAGTTGTTGAAAAACGTGAGAGCAACGATTATTGCATCTGCACTTGATGCAGTATGAATCTATCATCATGTGTCTCAGAATACGTTTTTTTTATTTTTTATTCCTGGGTGCAAGCGTTCACGCACGCTCTGAGCCAACTGTGGGTTTTCTTCTGCTCCTACAGGTGTAGGTGCCACTAGACGCTCTCGAAAATCCCGCCTTGGAAGTGTCAGTGACTACTGTCTTTACCATTGTGAGTGCCCTGTGATCGTTGTGAGGTTCCCAGAAGATCAAAATGGCCAAACTATTGTGCACCGGTCGAATTCCAGGCCCAGAACTCCAAGCCCACATGCATCTCCGAGCCCAACTCCCAAGGTTCCAGTTCAAACCGGTGAGGAAATGCCTGTTTGAGACGTGCTGATTGACGCTGCACCTGCTTCATGGCAACACGAGAGCATCCTCGGGTACCTCAACAGCGTCGGCAACAAAGGATTATGCTGAATAGTTGGAGAAGACTCATCACTTCATCATCAAGCAGGAAACTAGTTTGTGATGGCTTGGAATGACTCTTGTCTACGTTATGTTGCATTGTAACTTGGCAATGGGCTACAGTATTCAACCACATCATTCCTACTGTATAGAGAGACTTCTAAAGCATTCGAGCAGGTTGTGATGAGGTTTTGTTTTACAAATTCGATGTGACCCTCCTGGCTGTTGTGAGAAGTTTGTTTTGGTGATTTCCTGCTGAAAGTGTGTTATCAGTCGTTCTAGTTGTTGACCCAAAGTGGCAAAACTTAGTTACAGCAACAGACATGTTGCTATATTAATGTAGTGTTTTGACCCGTTCTCGTTCTCGGTGTTTAACTGATTTGTGCTTGCTTTCCAGCGTAGTGTTTCATTTTAATTAACGAACAGATTTTAATCAGTAATTTTAATTATTTCAGAATACATTACTTGCATGCCTAATGAAAGTGCATCAACATATAAATAATTGATATATATTTGTGTATATCATAGACAAAAGACAATACCAATAAGTTAATGATATTCTTGGAGAGGCAACAAAAAGAAACTGAATTACACAACTGATAATATCTTGTTTATTATTGTCATATAATTTATGTATTAAGTTGTACATGTTTCTTTATTGTTTCTCTTCTAAATGACTGAAGGTAATTGAGATTAAATTTTGGCAAACAATGGTTGTAGTAGTAAAGGTAGTGCATGAGACTATACTGGACAACATAATGCTAACAATGAATTCTTCAACCTTGTCTTATTACCATGATATTTAAATGTGCCTAAATGTTCTTGAATGAACCAAATTGATTATATATATATATATATATATATATATATCTTACAACACAACATATATTTTAAAAAAGATGCATGTAATACTAAACAAAAGACATGGTAATAATATTTGATTGGTCTAATTTAAAACAAAATATACTTTAAAGTATCTAGTAGAATATGTTATATACATGTAATGATCTTTCTTATCCATCAATGTATTCACCAAAAAATGTTCAAAAAATAATTAAAGGTAAAGGTGCCAATTGAAATTTTAATATATATTTACAAACTTGTTTGTTTTTTCTTTAAAATTTAGTTAAATTTAGTATTATACACCAAATTATTTTTTGTATCTAAGTTAAACTTAAAAGAAATTAAAATTATATTATTTAGTATTTGCTTTTAGAATAAGTAATAATAATAGTTTTTTAAAAATTTATTAAAAAATCTAAGTTATGTTAATGATATAATCATTGTCTTCTTAATTAAATAACATAATAGTAAATACTTTTGGAGATCTTTTGCAATGTATATTAAATTTTAAAGTTTAATATATTCTATTTCATATAAAAATAGTATCTTTAAGCTATAAGATAGCACTTTAAAAAAACCAATTATTATTATAAAGAATACAAATTAATATATAATATAAATAAAATTATACTTTTGCTACTAGAAGCACCTTATTTAAGGAGTAAAAGTTAATTTTGAAGCTTGAGTTCATAATAATAGATAAATTTTGTGGTACAAATTTATAGTTGAAAAAAATATATATATTATTAGGTTTATACATAGAGAAATGTTAAATAGACCAAAGTTTTACTAAATCTGTTGAAGGAAAGAACTCATTTAGTTGTTGCTAATGGTCAATAGAGTATATGAGTAATGAGGGATATCCTACAAGGTTAGTTGCTGGTCTATAGTGCCTTAGAATACAAGGAGAGGGCTGGTCCTAAGAGATATCCCATATGGGTTGTAACACATGGTACCTTGGTACTAGTATATAAGAAAAGGGTTGGCATGGGAAGAATCATCTCATACCACATTCTATTTGTGAAGTGCAACCTTGCTGGTCCTAACTTGCTTGTGTGGAGTTTGCTTTCTATGTTTCAATAGGTTATGGGCCCACACTCTCTTACCAAGTAAGTTGTTCTTGCATTATTTTCTTTGTTGCTTACTTTGGTGGTTGGGATCTTATGGTAGAATGGTGCTAGTGTGTTGTTGAAGTCATTGCTCCTGGATTTGTGAGTATATGAGTTTTGTGCAAGACCTTGATAGTGTCTTTGCTGAAGTAACACTAGTGTTTGAAAGTTTCATGAGATAGTGAGTCATTTTGAGTGGAGTGACGTGAGGGAGACTTATGAGAGCCATAGAATTACTTTACAATTCATTCCCCACCATTTAGACGTGATTTGGACTCATAATTTACAAAAAGTTGCAAAACAGCGAATTCTGGGTTTGTGGTTCAGCGATCTTTGAGTAGTGATATCTTCTCCATTACAACTCCAAATCAAGAGTTTTTTGGACCTACGTGTAGCTTGAGATGGCATCTTTTGAGGGTGATAGCTTGAGAATGGTTGAAAAGTTCAAAGGTGACAACTTTCACCACTGGAAGGCCAAAATGGAGCTACTTTTGGCGTCATTGGATCTTTGGGAGATTGTATGTGAGGACGAAGAGGCACCTGGGGTAGAGGCAAGTATCAAGGAGCATAAGGAGTTCAAAAGACGAGAAAAGAAGGCTTTTGGCATAATTGCCACCAATTTAGATGAGAGCAACTTTGCTCATGTCATTTCTTGCAAAGGGGCAGCAGAGGCATGGAAGACTCTTTGCAACGTCTATGAGAGTAGAAATCTCTCCAATGTACTATGGTCAAGGCAAAAATTCTTCACCGTGAAGATGGAAGAAGGTGAAGATCTCATGGCTCATGTGAATAAGGTAAAAGCACTTGCAAACCAACTTGCTGTTATTGACAAGCCTTTACCTGAAGAAGATGTTGTGATGACATTGCTCTCAAGCCTTCCGGACTCCTATTCCTCCCTCATTGTGGCATTGGAGTCAATTTCAAGAAAAGATCTTACTTTGGACTATGTCACGGCAAGACTAGCCCATGAAGTGACCAAAAGAAAGCAAAAGGAGTCTATTGGAGAGCAATCAGCACTATTCACGAGACCAAGTAAGGCAAGTACTTCCATTCAACGTAATCTTCCCAAAACTTGTTATATTTGTGGAAAACCAGGGCATTTTGCTAGGAATTGTTTCAAGGCAAAGAGAGGAGAAAGAGAGAATGCCAATAATGCTTTTCATGACCATGGAGGTGATGACTTTGCATTCATGGCAAAACAAACTTCTTCCATGCTTGATATGAGCAAATGGATCGTGGATTCTGGATGTACCAAACACATGACTCCATACAAGTGTTCATTTAACACTTATCAACCAATTCCAGCAACTAAGGTTTGGTTAGGTGATAATGGTATGGTACAAGCCATTGGAATGGGCACCATTGTAGTGGAAGTAGTGGTGAAGGGCATAAGCAAGAGGATCACACTCAAGGATGTGTTGCATGAGCCAAAGATGAAGAAGAACCTCCTTTCGGTGAGTAAACTTGTAAGTCATGGGTGCAAAGTGCAATTCAATATGAATGGATGTTTTGTGAGAACCATGGAAGGCAAAGAAGTAGCAAAAGGGATTAGAGATGGCAATCTCTATATTATCAATTGCAAGCGCATCAATGGAGTAGAGGTTGCTGCTTTTGCTGAATTTCCATCAAATGAAGATAAGGTGGACATTTGGCATCAAAGACTTGGACATTTGAATGCCAAAAGCATGAAGGAGCTTCAATCCATGGTAAGTGGCTTAGACCTTGGCCATTCTACTATGAATCTATCTTGTGAAGGTTGCATTCAAGGCAAACAACATAGGACACCATTTCCTAGTGGAATTGCAACAAGAGCAAATCAATTGCTGGAGCTTGTGCATTCGGATGTTTGTGGACCCATGAAAACAGCATCTATGAGTGGAGCAAGATATTTTGTCACATTTATTGATGACTTTTCAAGGAAGGTATGGATTTATATCATCAAGGCCAAAAGTGAGTGTTTTGTTAAGTTTAAGGAGTAGAAAGCACTTGTGGAGAAGCAATGTGAGCACAAGATTAAGGTGCTGCGATCGGACAATGGAGGTGAGTATTTGTCCAAAGACTTTGATGAGTTATTGAAGCATGAAGGCATTGCAAGACAAACCTCCACTCCCTATACCCCACAACAAAATGGAGTTGCTGAAAGAGCAAATCGCACCATTGTGGAGATGGCAAGGAGTATGATTCATGCTCAAAAGCTTGGATATGAGTATTGGGCGGAAGCTGTGGTAAATGCCGTATATACAAGAAATAGGTGTCCCACAAGTGCACTTGAAGGAATGACTCCCGAAGAAGCTTGGACTGGTAAGAAACCTTGTTTATCTCATATGAGGATTTTTGGATGCATTGCATATGCTAAAGTTCCAGATAGTATGAGAGGCAAACTTGATGCAAAGGGCACAAGATGTGCATTCCTTGGATATTGTGAAGGCACCAAGGCATATAGGCTCATGTGTTTAGACACCAAAAAGATCATCAAAAGTCGTGATGTAGAGTTCTTGGAGTATAAGAGTGCAAGTGAAAAGTGGGAGATGTGTCCAAGTGGGAGTAGTGGTGTGTTTGTGGACACATCTTCAATTTCAGCAAACAAAGAAGAAGATGAAGAAGAGCATTCTCAAAGTGAAGATGGAAATGAAGATATCATTGAAGAAGAGCCCAACTCTATAAAGACTTCAATTCCAGCAAGATACAACAAAGACAATGAAGAGAATGAAGATGAAGAATATCAACCAATGAATGAGAGAAGGAAGTGTATGAGCCATAGAAGGCAGCAAGAGGTGCATGAAGGCTCATCTTCTTTGCATGAAAGAAGATATCCAACACGTGAAAGAAGACCACAAGGTGAATGGTGGAAGAACCACATCTTTCCACAAGTAAGTGAAGATCAGGCCAATGTTGCTCTTCTTGATGATCCATTGACTTTGTGTGATGCAATGAGGTGTGGTGATGCAATAAAGTGAGAGATTGCTATGCAAGAAGAGTACAAATCTCTTATGGACAACAAGACATGGGAGTTGACTCCACTTCCACCAAATCGTTCAGCAATTGGATGTAAGTGGGTGTTTAGAATCAAGAGAGATGCTATAGGCAATGTTGTGAGGTACAAAGCAAGATTGGTTGCCAAAGGCTACTCACAAGTTGCTGGAGTAGATTTTAATGAGACATTTGCTCCAGTGGCCAAATTCACTACCATTAGAACTATAGTAGCAATTGGAGCATCAATAGACTTGGAGATGCATCAAATGGACGTCAAGACAGCCTTCTTGAATGGAGAATTGGAAGAAGACATCTACATGGAGCAACCTCAAGGATTTATTGATCAAGACAAACCCAACCTTGTATGCAAGTTGAAGAAGTCATTGTATGGACTCAAGCAATCACCAAGAGCATGGTATCAACGCATTGACTCATTCTTTGTGAAGGAAGGTTTTATAAGAAGTGAAGCTGACCATTCTTTGTATGTGTTGCAAGCCAAGGACTTCTTGCTGGTTGTGATCCTCTATGTAGATGATTTAATCATCTTAAGCAACACCATGGTAAAATTAGATTGGTTGAAGAAGAAATTGGAGAAAGAGTTTGAAATGAGTGATTTGGGAGAGCTTCATTATTGTTTGGGTGTGGAATTTACAAGGAATAGAGTATCAAAGACCATCACATTGAGTCAAAGCAAGTACATTGAAGAAGTATTGAAACGATTCAATATGCAAGATTGCAAGCCCATTGGAACTCCATGGGAAGCCAACTTGAAGTTGATGAAGCTCACGGATGAGGAATATGCTGAAGTTGAGCATCAAATGCAAGGCATACCATACAAGGCAGCAGTAGGCTCACTCATGTATGCAATGGTGGGTACAAGGATGGATCTTGCATTTGCAGTAAGTGTTGTAAGTCAACACATGGCAAAACCAGGTCCTATGCATTGGGCAACCATCAAAAGAATCATGAGGTACTTGAAAGGCTCTTTGAACCATAAACTATGTCTTGGAGGAAATAACATTGCATTACATGGATATTGTGATGCGGATTGGGCTGGAGATACAAATGATAGAAGATCAACAACGGGCTATGTATTCTTTGTTGGAATGGGAGCCATATCTTGGAATTGTAAGAGACAACCAACCATTGCAAGGTCCACAATGGAGGCGGAGTATATGGCAGCAAGTCATGGAGCAATGGAGGCAATTTGGTTGAGGTTGTTGTTGGAAGACATTGGACTTGTGCAATTGGAAGCCACTCCATTGAGATGTGACAATCAAGGATGTTTGGCTTTTGCAAAGAATCCAAAGCATCATGCAAGAACCAAGCACATTGATATTCAACACCACTTTATAAGAGAGAAGATAGAGATGGGAGTTATTGATATGATGTATTGTGAAACCAAAGACATGTTGGCTGATTTGCTAACAAAAGCCTTGGTGAAAGAGAGACACAACATATTGAGTAAGGCATTAGGATTGATAGCTAATTGACATGTAGCAAAGTGGGAGTGTTGAAGGAAAGAACTCATTTAGTTGTTGCTAATGGTCAATAGAGTATATGAGTAATGAGGGATATCCTACAAGGTTAGTTGCTGGTCTATAGTGCCTTAGAATACAAGGAGAGGGCTGGTCCTAAGAGATATCCCATATGGGTTGTAACACATGGTACCTTGGTACTAGTATATAAGAAAAGGGTTGGCATGGGAAGAATAATCTCATACCACATTCTATTTGTGAAGTGCAACCTTGCTGGTCCTAACTTGCTTGTGTGGAGTTTGCTTTCTATGTTTCAATAAAATCAACCCACCCATCCAAACCATCATAAAAAAATAAAAAAAATAAAAAACAAACAAACCAACAAATAACATCTAGATTTACTTCTCCACTATTGGATTTGCAACCAATAATAACCATCTACATTCATTGTGATTACCGTATTTTTTTTTAAAACAAAAGTGGCTCTATTTAGTAAAAGCATGGGTCTATTTAACAATCCCATATATATATATATATATATATATATATATATATATTTCTTTTAAATATATTATATTAGAATGTTATTTGATTATTTGTACAAATAATCAAATAAATATAAATTGATTTTATATTTTTGTAAAATAAGATAAGACAAATTATTGGTCATTTAGCCAAAGAATTTGACATGCAATTTTTAAGAGTAAAAAACCATAAAGATTTAAGTAAACCTATTTAAATTTTAAATTAGTCAAAATTGTCCAAAATTGTATACAATAATAAACAAATTTAGTATAAGATACATTAGGTTTTTGTTATTTTGATATTTGACCAAGCTTTTAATTTGCTATAGTATTTCAAATTTTTTAATCTGAATATTAGAAAATATATTAAAGTTGCACATGTAAAACTTTTAAGAAATATTGCAAATAGATTAATCTATTTATTTAAATAATTAAAAATTAATTCTAAAATAACATGCAAAAAAGGAATATTTGTACTTGATATTTGATTCTATATATATATAAAATCTATAAAATCATTTTAATACTAAGATTGTGTTTAAGTTTACATACCATAAATCATTTAGTTGTAAAATGACAATTTAATTAAAGATCTGAACAAACTTATCAAAGAGGATTAAGTAGAATTAAAACTAGAAAAGTACTGCAATAGCTATGATGGATAAATTCTATTTATTAAAGGATTAATTTTTCTGAAAGAACTTTAAAAATATTAATTTTAACATTAAAAAATTTAATAGATATTTAAGTACAATTAAGATTTCATTTTTTTGTTTATTTTAGTAGATCTAAGTTTTGAAGATTGTTGGATGTTTTAGAAATGCAAGATAGTGCTAATAATGCAAAAATTTGACAATTTAATGTTAGTTAATGAATGTGGTAGGTCGTGGGTGTCAACATTGATCACATTTAAATATATTCAACAACATGCAATAGTATAAGAATTATAATTTATGTTTTTAGAAGAATATCTATGTTATTCAAAAAATTATAATAAATTCTTAACTATAGGATAAAATTTGAAATAAAAATTTACTTTAATATAATATGATAGTTTAATAAAATAAAATACTAAAAAAGTAAAAAAAATTAAGATCTTAAATGTCTATAAATATTAGAGGGTTGATTGCATGTTTATTGCTCTACTTAGAGTTAAAATACAAAAAAATTCTATATATTCTTTACAAAATAATATACAAAATATTTATATCAAAACTTTAAAATAATTCTTACATAAAAGTGAAAATTTAATACTATTATTTTTATGAATTGATTATTTATTGATCTATATATTTTTAATGCAAATACCATTTGATTCTTAATATATATATATATATATATATATATATACATGATTAAATATTTGATGTAGCAAATTATTTTTTTTAATGGGATTTGATTTATTACTTATTTATTTATAAATATGTATTTGTGTAAGTATATAATTGTATAAATAAATAATTATCTAAATATATATAATGTAAATATATATATATATATATATATATATATATGTATTTTAAAATATAGAAACTATGAAGTTAGAAATTAGTTTTGTAGCTTTATTACCTTATAAATATATATATATATATATATATATATATATTTTAAACTTAATTTGTAAATATGAATTTATATGTATATAAGCATATAATAATGATAATAATAATAAAGTCAAATTTGTAAAATCATGCATAAGCCAAATATAATTATTACTTTTTTTATTTTAAGATAAATTGAAATAAAATAAATGTAACATTCATGTGTGTATTAAATAATATGTTTTTTTTATCACTTTTTTATTTTTTAAATATTACACATGATTATATTTATTTTTTTGAAAAAGAATGAAATAATAAAAAAATTACATCATATCAAATTTTGTGATATTTTTGTCCATTAAGTTAGTAATAAAAAATTCTTTAATAGATATAAATAAATTATATATATATATATATATATATATTAAGAATGTAATTATTTAATGTATTATAGATATAAAACATGTATGCTAATTAAACTTTAATATTTTATGTAATGAAGACATTATATATATATATATATATATAGGGAATGTGTCTAATCCAACCACATTCATTATGATTACCATATTCTTCATTATATATAGGTCAATTTTATAAAAACTTGGGTCTATTTAACATTTCTCTCTCTCTCTCTCTCTCTCTCTCTCTCTATATATATATATATATATATATACATATATATTTGTATATAAGAAAGTTCACACATCTTTTAGTCTTATGTCTTAATAATCATCTATTTTTTATCACCTAGTTTTGTTTGTCTATACTATAAAATATAATTTTATATTCTAAACCCTAAAATACTAATCAATAAAAGTCTTTCAGACTAAAAAGTAAAATACACATACACTCAATAAAACTCTTTCAGACTAAAAAGTTTTGCAATAAATATACTGTAAAAACCTCTCCAAATAAAATTAGTAAGATTTTAAAAGTAAATGAAAGAATTACATAAAATGTGTTATGAAATTATGTTAAACTTAATGAATATAAATATAAATATATATATAAATATATATATATATATATATATATATATATATGTCATGCACAATTGTACACAAATCTTATTTTGTAAACTTCTTCTAAAACGTGCTAGCATAAATAAGAGTTTTATTGGTGAGTATATAATTAGTATATAATATAAATTCTATTTCTAAATTTATTCTTTCAGATTGCACTAACTAATCGTATTCTTTAAACGTTCCATTTAGGCAGGTCAGGACTTACTGAGGTAAGGAAAATGAAAAGTAGAAAGTACTAACCTCCTGGTGATACGGTCATGAACCCCTTCAACAACTCCCAATAAAGCCAAGGACAAGGACAAGGAAACCACCAGAAAATGCTAGTTGAAATCAAGAAGTAACCCAATTACTTCATGACCGCTAAACTCAGACCCAACTGTTGTACACATAATCTGTTAAGCGTCCAGCTACAGAACCTGCACATAAAAACTTAAAAAACAAGCTTCTGGGAGGTTCTACACCAAGGTTGAAGGCTTTTCATTCACTAACAATCTACTTGTTGCGCTACACTGCATGTTTGGGATCATACTTGCTCCCAGACAACGATCACCAAACTTGACTAATCTGGAAGCTCCTTCATCGTTGCTTTACGGTGGATGCGACCTGAGCTCCAAAGCAGGCATAGACAGCATCTATTGGTTCAAGTTCCCAGCTTGCAGAACCTATCAGTAAGAGCCATTCCCAAACCAATACCAAAATAATTGGTCACATCATATCAAGGCATACTGCTTCCAATGCCCCAAACACAAAGGTGTATATCTGTCCACCCCACGTAGCTCACTCTGAAGATTTTAATCTCCATAACTAGGTAAGTAAATGAGAAATCCCTACAAGGGACCGAGAACGAATGCTGGAAGTACAATAGAGGGCAGAAAAGATGTGCATGAAGGCAGAAGAATAGCAACAAGTGTGGGGCAAGATCCAACAACAAAGACCAAGACGACTTCCAAAAGAGTCCTGGGGCACAATATGGTACTATCGGATCAGATATAGTTTCTTCGAATTGGATAGCCAGTGAATATTCTCCCTCGTGAACAGAAAAACACAAATGTGTGCACAAGTCCCTGTTCCCTTCTAAAACTATAAACAGAACCTCTCTCTCACCCAGTAGGAGAGTTTCCCAAACCCAGTTGCAAATCTAGTACATTGTTAGGCGCCCCACCTCCACTAAATGGCCGCTGTTCATGTGTCTGTAAGGCCCCAGGCGCCTGAGCTAGCGGTCTGGGGCGTACGAGGTTCTCCGTTCTCATACCGTCCATTCCTTTCACCAGAAACCTTCCCGATGGCATACCACCCTGCTGTAATTGAGAATGAGACCATGGCTGAGATGAGTGCATCCCTTGTGGAAGTACTGCAAACATGCTGGGGAATTCCGCATATCGCATATGTTCCCCGTACATAGATCCAAAGGTTGGTCTAGACCCTGGAAGGCTCATTCCTAGAAGACCATAGTAGAAAAAATAAGGCGACGGGGGACACTGCATACCCCGCGTCATTGGATGAGGGAACGTGTGGTTTGGAACACCACCATTCATCAATGACATGCTATGGGCCATTGGAGCCATGCCCTCGTATGTACTCATGCTCGCAGGAGCATGCGGAGGCATCAGCTGCGCACCGTGCGAACCATGGTTTCCAGAAAGCTGTGACGAGTGGGGAATTACTAACCGGGAAACATGGGGTGTAACGAGCTGCTGCCCACCGTGGTACTGTCGAATGCCATATCCCCCCCTCCCACCCCATACAGTGCTTCTATCCGAATTGGCTGCAGCTAACCTATTAGCTTGCAACTGGGCACGCTTGGCCTCTTGCCGCTCTCTCTTGTGCGCATTCTGATGGCCACCCAGAGCCTGAGAGCTAGCGAATTCCCTCCCGCAAAATTGGCATTCGTATTTCCGATTCTCCCATAAAGGAGCGGTCGAATCTGAACAATCGGTGTGTCCCCTGGAAAGGTGTAAAGAGCTACCACCAGCACATTCCGCAACATCGTCATCACACTGCTCCACAGCTGCGTCATCGACAGAGGAGTTCTGGGCAGCGTCAGCATCCTTTGCTATGAACCGAAAGACAACCGACTGCGACTCATTTGCCTCACATGGAACCTGATCTATCAAGGATGGGTCCTCAACATTTTTCAGCGGAGTGCTCAAGCTACTCTCTCCACTGTTCTTCTCTGCAGATGGTGGATGCTTAATATCGAAGCCAAATAGCTTCACCGCTGTCCCTGACCTGTCCCAATTTCCAGCCCCGTCGAGAACCCTAGGACTGGGAGTGTCTTGACTGTTACCTACGCTGGCAGCTGAAGTTCCTACCCCAGCCTCAACCTGTGCATCCACGGTTGTATGCCCTCCACTCGTCGGGGACACTGAATCGGAGCATCCCCGATCAGAAGCAGCGCTGCCGGGTCGTGAGCTCGGACCTGCAGATGTAATGCCCGGACTCTGAGCATCCAATTCCACTTCTTTGTCCCTGCCTCCATTGGACATGGAGAGTCTGTAAGGAGATGCCTGTGCACCACTTTGATTACTATCTTTCGTCATTACATACTTTGATTACTATCTTTCGTTGCAGTCCCTAATCAACATCGCAGTCTTTACGCCCGCCTCAGATTCAACTTCTCCATTGGAATCACCAGATACGTCTATTTCTCTTCCAACCTGCACCTTGTTCAGCCCAACGCAATAAGTGAGAAGAATTACAATTGCTTGCTGCCTAAAGACCACCACCCAAACATCACATCATCACAGCTCTAACACGGAGCTGCATCAAAAGCAGTGATATTGGTGGGGACCTACTGCAAGTTTTGACGTAGAAAACTAATTGGACATACTAGACATGGCATGCAGAGCATGTGCTGGCACTTGCTGAATCTGGAAGAGTCAATGCACAAACTGTTCACAGCTAGAGCTTGCCTGTGGCTCAACTAGGTGTTTCCGAAGCTTGAGAATTCGTGATGGGATTATGCAGTTTGAGAACCTGTAACCTTGTCACCCGAACAAGTGCTAAAGCCATCCTCTCCCTCATGCCCTCTCTACCTAGCTACAAAAATAATAACAAAAATAATAACAAAAATAAAGAATCATCATCATCAAGCCGCTCCCGCTGTCTCGTTCGAAAATTTGATCCTAACTTCCGATCAATCCCTCTATGTACATAACCAGCGGCAAGCATGCCCGTGTTTACATCCCGTACTTAAAACCATTCGCCAATTGCAACTCTCCCGACTCGTGCTCACCACCACGGCAGGCCCCCTCCGTGGAGGAACGACACCACCTGAGCCTGATCCCTAACAACCCTCACCCCATCACAGGTTCTCAAAATGCACAACTCGCCTCTCATCACTCTCGTCCAAAGCGCCCTGGGCTCCGACCTCCGCAGCAGCACCGCTTCCAAACATCTAATTGACAGCCCCGCCCTCTGCTCTCATTGGCCACAGAGCCATGCCAAGCAGCAACAACACCACAACAACCACACGGCCTCAACACTACTCCCATCACGGCCGCGGCATCGTCATCTTCCTCACCATCCTCGACCACCCTCACTTCCTTCCTGCCCATGCCCTACCACCCCGACCCCCAAACACATGTGAGACAGCGCCAGGGATTCTCCCACTCACTCTCCCCACCCACTCACTCACTCCCTCTCTCCCTCTCTCTCCCTCCCCTGCCTCCCTCACAAACCTCAACTGACGCCTAATTCCACCAACACCGGAACGCACGGCTCAACATCAGGCCCGTGAAGCCACGCCGCCCCAAGTTCGAAGTTTCCAGGGCTCCGAAGAAGAAAACGCAACGTTACGCTAGGAAACGCTACATAAGTGCACCTTCCTCTGCCTCCTTTCCCTTGCCTTCTCTTGGTCGCTAAGCTGTGCCCCCCCCCCCCCCCCCCACCCTCCCGCAGTCCAGCTCTTCCCATTCCATCCCTCTCTCTCTCGCTCTGTGTCCCTTTCTCTGCTCCCGGGCCCTGCCCAGCCCGGCGAGGGTCTCTTCCTTGATCCTCCCTCTGGAGCAACCCCCGCCCGACCTCCCCGAGCGCGACCTAGGCCACCCTACCAGGCACGTCCGCCCGCCCGCCCCCGCTACATCCATCCATGTGTTCGTTCGTTCGTTGGTTTGCAGGGGGGGGGATGTTCATGCGTGACTTCTTCCTCGTCGAACATGCCAAGCAAGTGTTCATGGTCGTCGTTCATAGTGCACCTTCCTTGTAGACTGGGCTTTGCCAGTTGTGTTGTGTTGTTAATAGCAAACCCCCCACTCCCACCCCTTTTTGGTTGCATTGGTTGGGTTTGGACGTGTTTGGACTTTCAACCACTGTAGAGTTTTTCTTTTTCTTTTTTTCTTTTTTTCTTTTATCTTTTTTCAATCATTGGAAAATCATCTCTTTCATCCTCAATCAATTGTGTGCTCCTTTTTGCCTTTCTTTTATCACACTGAAAGATCCTGATTTTGACCTCCCCCCTCCCCTTCTTTCATTTTTTCCCTTTGCATTACGCACTCTTTTATGTTGCGTTTTGTGTTTCTTTTTTCTTTTTTTCTTTCTATAGGAAACTAATCTAAATAAACAAATAAAAATAAAAATACACGCACCTATGTCTGATTTTTCTGTTACTTTTACATACATTCTTTTATATTTGATTGTATACAATATGCGTGTGTATAGAAATGAATAAAATTATGAAATAAAATTTTTATACTGTAATACACAGGATGTGCCAAGTTTTTTTCTCATATATATATATATATTTATATATATATAGGATACAATTGCTCTATTTTATAGTTGTTAAATATCAGATACCTAAATGTTCTAAAATTAAAATAAATAAAATAGATAATTTTATTTTTACATAATAATATAAAAGAAATATAATGTCATATAAGTTTTAAATGCTTTTAATCTTAAAAGATAAAAAATTGGTGATCATAATTAAATATTATATATATAATATAAATTATAATATATGTAGAGAAAGATGTATTATAGATATTGTATTTAAAACATATTAAATAAGTTATTTTATTAAAAGTATAATAAATTAACTTTTTAACCTCTAAAACTCTTATTGGAAGGACATAAATCTATGTAGACTTGCAAAAAGACAATAGATTAATAAACAACTAAGAAAGAAGACCAAAAAAAAAATACTTATAAAGTAGGAAGATATAAGAATAGCTGTTTCTAAATATAAATAAACTAGAAGGTCTTAAATCAAAACTTAAATATAAATATATTATTGACAAAGTTTTAAACAATTTTAATCTTGCTTCTATATATATATTAGCTTCTGAAATAATTATGTAGATTTTTTAGGTACAAAATAATTGTGTAATTCTTGTGATGATTATGAATGATATATTACAAATATTAATACAGCATTTAATTTAAATGTTTAATTTGATATTTTGAAGCTAAAACTTTGAGAGTATTATATTTTTTAATTTTTTAATTTTAAGGAATATATTTAAGAACTTTAAATCAATTGGGATCTTTAATCAAATGGAATGTCAAGTAAAAGTTCACAATCAACATGTATCATTTAATAAATAACTCCTTTATTTGTTTGTATGTAATGGTTTTAATACAAAATATAAAATCTATAATTTTAGATAGGCAATACAACATCATTGGAATAAAATCTTTATTGTTAAAAGTTAATAGATTTATATGAAAATTCATTAAAATAATAGTCATAATCATTATAAAATAATTAATGGTTGAAGAAGTCCATAAAAGTTGTCATAAATTATTCTTTTGACTTCTACTTGTTCCTTTTGGATCTTTATTAAAAACTATGTATTTTTTAATGTCAAACTTATAAGTCTAAAATTATTCAATTACATTTAATAAATATCTATTTATGATTAGAAAAGTCCATGAAATGATAATTATTTTTAATTAATACTAAAATCATTCAATCTATGGTATTAATACTTTTAAATAATATTTTTAGATTTTTTATTTGATTTATTGTATTCCAAAAATTCAACTTGGTTTATTTAAAGTAAAAATATTTTTGTATTGGCACATGACTTAAGATTGTGAAGTATATACAAATGTATTAGCCCTTGGATTGTGAGGGTCAAAAACACGACACAAAATACCTAGAATTATTTCTAAGATTTATTGATACATCCAAAGAGCTATATAATATCCTTGAATTAATATAGAATACTTTACAAAAACATAATGGCACCAAGTTATACAAATTCCTAAGCTGATCAACTACTTTTTTATTACTTCAATGATAATTATTTGTAGTTATATGTATAATTTGAGTGCCTGCCAAGACTATATGTAACTAATGGTATTATAGTGCAACATCACAAACTTCCTATGACCAACAATGAAGAGAGTCTAATAAGTTCTTCATTCTTTAATAGATATGAATATACTTAGATAATAAAATGTAATAGAAAGACTTACTTAAGATAATTGTTTTTAAAAAGCTTGTTCAATGCATATCATTATAACTAATTATTAGTAGTAACAATAATAAATTTGATTCATTTGAAGTACAAATATATATATATATATATATATATATATATATATATATATATATATATATTATCAAATTAAAGATAGATATAAAAAAAAATTAAAATGTCTATTTCCAAATACAAAGAGACTAGAGATTCTTGAGCAAAGATAATATCATTAAAATGGCGTTGATAAGAGTGAAGAAGGCCTTATTTTTAGCTCCATGTATATTATCTAATCAAGGAGCTATGTGGTGATGTTTTATAAGTTATCTGACATGTCTCCAACTTGCAAGACATATATCTAACTGATAAAACAAGATTGTCATATGTGTTTTGATATAACCAACTTATAACACAAGTAGCCAATATGTGCAACATGTAGTCAACATGTAAAACAAGTGATCAAAAATTTATCCAACAAGTTGATCTATTAATTATCTACAAACACTTATAAAGTCAAATTTGTATTTGAATAGCGTCTTAAAAGCTACTCCACAAGACGTTATTAAATTTTTTTATTTTTATTTTTAGTTAATTCTTCTTATTTTTCTTAATTATTAATATTAATATTAATATTTGTGACAATATGCTCTTTTAATGAAAAAATTGTATAATGTTGTATGATATATTGTCTTGCTTGAGAATGCATGGGATACTTAGTTGTAAAAGATAAACTTATATTTTTGCAACAAACAAAGAATCTAATAATCCTAATAAAATCCTAAATAAATTTGATTTGAATTTTAATAATTATGATTAAATGTTACTAAAATCCTAAATAAATTTTAAAGAAATCCTAAAAGAATTCTAAAGAAATCTTAAAGATTTTTTAAAAAAAAATCTTAAATAAATATTCTAATAAATTTTTTAATAATTTTTAAATAAGCCTTAAAATCCTAATAAAATTGAAAGATATCCTAATAAAATCTTAAATAAATATTAACAAAATTCTAAATAAATCTTTATAAATCCTAATAAAATTCTAAAAAAAAAAACCTAATAAATATTTACAAAATTCTATTAGAATCCTAGCTAATTCTCACTAATTTCTAGCTAATTCTCAATAATTATTAATCCTAGCTAATTCTCACTAATTAATCCATTGATTTTGCTTCAAAATTTACTCATATTTTAATTTACAAATCAACAAAAAAAAATATGCAAAATTTAAGAAAAGATTATATGTACCAATTGAGATAAAAAGCTTATAATTTGGTTAGACATTATTTTTCCTCCTTTTCTAACCTTAATGCCAATTTTTCAACAACAATAGATTTTCTTTAAACTATTTAATTTCCTTTAAAATTGGAAAAAATATTTAAAATTAATTTCATTATTTGATTACAGGAAATTCTTTCAATTCAACCAAAAAAGAATTTAAGGTCAAAAAAACTCTTATTAATTTTTGAAATCAAATTAAAATACTCTTGTCCAATTAAATTTTATTAATCTTAAATCTAATTGATTCATTGATTTTAAGTTTATAAAACACATTCACAACAACTAGATTCACAACTCCATACATTTTTATCCATCAATCTGATATAATATTTATAAAAATCTTTAAAAATTAAAATTTATTTTATTCTTCAAAACCTCAAGTCATTAAAAATAACTCTAATTTTGCAAATATTTTGCAAATTTAATATCAATTCTATCATTTCAAACTAGTATTTATATAATTCCATCTAATTTGCTTTATTATATTGTATTCCAATCAACCAAAAATCTTATAATTATTATAGATGCATAATTTTATGTCTCAAGTCTATTTTTGATTCATGTTTACAATTGGTTCTTTCTAGATAACAATATCTTATTTATTTTTTTTGGCAATTTTTGCTAAAATCTATTATTTGATTCTATCTAAAGATGTTTATAATATATTTTTTCTAATTTAATTTGTTTTGTCTTGTTTATGGTCGTACAAAGAAAATAAAAGTCCTTTCTATAAAAAATAGCATTAATACTAAATATTTTTATAAACTCACTTCTTTTTACTTGTGAATTGCTATTATATTTTTTAATTTAGCTCTCCTTAAATATAATAAATATTTATGTCTTTTAACCAATAGTTGTATTTTTAATATATAATGAATCAAAAAATTGTTTCAATGTTGACATATTTTAGAAAGAATGGTATATTACAGATGAATTGTAGTGAATAATGACACATGGTTTGTATAACAAATAAAGTACTCCTTTACAGCTACCAAATGAACCTAGGTTGAAAAGAACTCATTAGATAATTGTGGAGCTATGACCAATCTAATTTGAAGTACTGTTGAAACAATTTTTTGAGTGTGGTGTCTAATTTTTAGGTTCTATTAAGTACTCAACATTATAGCATTCTAACATTATCAAATTTACTATGAA